CCAGGGTCACACCCAAGCTGCGAACCTGCGCCTTCAAGGGGAGTGCGACCCCGTCCAGCACAGGCTGTAACCCTATACCCTGTTCGGCCTTGCGACTGACCAGGAGTACCTCTGTCTTGTCTGGATTTAATTTCAGTTTGTTCGCCCTCATCCAGACCATTACAGCGGCCAGGCACCGGTTCAGGACTTCGACAGCCTCCTTAGTAGCAGGTGGAAAGGAGTGACAGAGTTGGACATCATCTGCGTACAGATGACACCACACCCCGAAACTCCGGATGATCTCACCCAGCGGCTTCATGTAGATATTAAACAGCATGGGGGACAGTATAGAACCCTGTGGAACCCCACAGGTCAAAGGCTGTGGTGTTGAACAGGAGTCCCCCAATAACACCTTCTGGGTACGACCCTCCAGAAATTACTGGAGCCACTGCAACGCAGTGCCCCCAAGACCCATCTCTGCAAGGCGCCCCAGAAGAATACCGTGGTCGACGGTATCGAAGGCCGCTGAGAGATCCAGGAGCACCAACAGGGACACACTCCCCCTGTCTAGCTCCCGGCGCAGATCATCCACTAAGGCGACCAAGACCGTCTCAGTACCATGTCCCGGTCTGAAACCAGACTGCGCCGGATCCAGAATATCCGTGTCTCTCAAGAATACCTGGAGTTGTGAGGCCACCACGCTTTCCATGACTTTGCCCAAGAAGGGAAGATTGGAAACAGGCCGAAAGTTGTCCAAATTAGTGGGGTCCAGCGATGGTTTCTTCAACAGCGGCTTTATAACAGCCTGTTTTAGGCTCGCTGGAATCTTGCCTTCCCGGAGGGAGGCATTAACCACCACCGTTACCCACTCGGCCAATCCCCCTCTGGCCTCCTTCAGAAGCCAGGATGGGCAGGGGTCTAGGATGGACGTGGTGGGTCTCATTCCTCCAAGTATCTTGTCCACATCCTCGGGTTTCACAAACTGAAAAGAATCCATCAAAATAGGACAAGCAGGTGCTTGTGTCACATCCACAGAGACTGCATTTAATGTGGCGTCCAGCCCAGAACGGATCAAAGCGACTTTGTCTGCAAAGAACCGAGCAAATGCTTCACAGCGCGTGCCGAGTTGTCAGGGCTCCCACCTGAGGTAGGGGGAGTTAAAAGACCTCTGACAATCCGAAACAACTCCGCCGGACGGTTTTTTGCAGACGCAATAGTGGCCGCAAAGAAAGTTTTCTTTGCGGCTTTTATTGCCGCGGCATATGCCCTTAAAAAGGACACAAACCGTGTTCGGTTTGGCTCGCTTGGATCCGAGCGCCACACGCTCTCTAGACCCCTCTTCTTTCGCTTCATCGCTGCCAGCTCCTCAGTGAACCAAGGGGCTGGTTTAGCTCGGTTACTTGAGAGGGGACGTTCCGGAGCGATCATGTCAATTGCCCTAGTCATCTCCCCATTCCAGAGAGCGACCAAGGCCTCGACATGAGCACCTACCAAGGTGGCGGGAAACTCCCCAAGAGCCGTCAGGAATCCATTCGGATCCATTAGCCTCCTGGGGCGGACCATCTTAATGGGTCCTCCACCCCTGCGGAGGTTAGGGGGCGCAGTGAGTCTAAATCTAATCAGGAAGTGGTCGGTCCACGGCAACGGAGAGATAGCCAACTCCTCCACACCGCCACCCTGCTCCCATCCCTGACAGAAAACCAAGTCCAATGTGTGTCCAGCACAGTGGGTGGGGCCAGTTATTTGTTGGGACAGCCCCATGGTTGCCATGGCAGACATGAAGTCCTGAGCCGCACCTGTGAGGTTTGTCTCGGCGTGGATGTTGAAGTCCCCCAGCACAAGAAGCCGTTGGGACTCCACCGCCAGGCTCGAGACCACCCCCGCTAGCTCAGGTAGGGAGACTGCAGTGCAGCGAGGTGGACGGTACACTAGCAGAATCCCTATTCTGTCCCGGTCACCCACCCTCAGGTGGACAGATTCAAAATTTGTGGTCTGCGGGATGGGGCTCCTGGTTAGATGGATGGTATCTCTATAGACCACTGCGACCCCGCCTCCCCGTCCTCCGGCTCTTGGTTGGTGTTGCACGGAGAAACCTGGAGGACAAAGCTGGGAGAGATTTACGCCCCCCGCTTCATCCAACCAGGTCTCCGTAATGCACGTAAAAACTAATAATAATAATAATTTGAAGGGGCATCTGATTTATTTTTTGTGGTGGCGGAGTTAATGGAATGAGGGTGCACCTGATTGTTGATGGCATCGTACAATGGAAAAAATACAATAATAATAAATATAATTAAATAATAATAATAATAATAATAATAATAATAATATAACTAATAATAATAATAATTTGAAGGGGCATCTGATTTATTTTTTGTGGTGGCGGAGTTAATGGAATGAGGGTGCACCTGATTGTTGATGGCATCGTACAATGGAAAAAATACAATAATAATAAATATGATTAAATAATAATAATAATAATAATAATAATAATAATAATAATAAAAATAGTAATAATTTGAAGGGGCATCTAATGTATTTTTGGTGGTGGTGGTGGGTACTGGAATGAGGGTGCACCTGATTGTTGATAGCATCGTACAATGGAAGAAATACAATAATAATAAATATAATTAAATAATATAAATAATAATATAAATAATAATAATAATAATAATAATAATAATAATAATAATAATAATAATAGATTGCAGGTGCACCTGATGTATTTTTTGTGGGGGTGGCGGAGTTAATGGAATGAGGGTGTACCTGATCGTCGATGGCATCGTACAATGGACGAAATACAATAATAATAAATACAATTAAATAATAGTAGTAGTAGTAGTAGTAGTAATAATAATAATAATAATAATAATTTGCAGGTGCATCTAATGTATTTTTGGTGGTGGCGGAGCTAATGGAATGAGGCTGCACCTGATTGTTGATGGCATCATACAATGGAAGAAATACAATAATAAATACAATAAAGTAATATAACATAATAATAATAATAATAATAATAATAATAATAATAATAATAATAGTAATTTGCAGGTGCATCTGATGTATTTTTTGTGGTGGCGGGGGTAATGGAATTAGGGTGCATCTGATCGTTGATGGTGTCTTGCAATGGAAGAAATGCAGTCATAATAAATACTATAACATATAATAACAACAACAACAACAACAACAATAACATTATTTGTTGTTTATACTGCTTAACTGTTTTTAATTTGCTTTAGGACTATGTAAGCCGCATCGAGTCCTTCGGGAGATGCTAGCGGGGTACAAATAAAGTAATAATAATAATAATAATAACAACAATAACAACAACTTGGATCTACATCACACAGTCCTAGACGCTTCGGAAGTGTCTGACTTGTGATTTTTTGATATGAAATCCAGCATATAGATCTCGTTTGCTGTGACATACTGTGCTTTTGCATCACTAAAATAATAATAATAATAATAATAATAATAGTAAATTGCCAGTGCATCGTATTTTGGGTGTTGGTGGTGGTACTGGAATGAGGATGTACCTTACTATCGATGGCATCTTACAATGGAAGAAATACAGGAATAGTAAATACAATTAAATAATATAAGGAATAACAATAACAATAATAAATAGAAGGTGCACCTGATGTATTTTGTTTGGTGGTACTGGAGTGAGGGTGCGCCTCATTATCAATGGCGTCTTGCAATGGGAGAAACACAATAATAATAAATACAATTCAATAATATAACTAATAACAATAAATAGCAGGTGTACTTGATGTATTTTGTTTGGTGGTACTGGAATGAGGGTGCGCCTCACCATCGGTGGCGTCTTACAATGGAAGAAATACAGGAGTAATAAATACAATTAAATAATATAACTAATAAAAATTAATTACTATTATTACTATTATTATTATTATTATTTGCAGGTGCATGTGATGTATTTTTGGTGGTAATGGAGCTGCTGAAATTAAGATGCACCTTACCATCGATGGCGTCTTGCAATGGGAGGAATACAATAATGGTAAATACAATTAAGTAATATAACTAATAACAATTATTATTATTATTACTATTTGCAGGTGTATCTAATGTATTTTTGTTGGTAATGGTGCTGCTGAAATTAAGATGCACCTTATCATCGATTGCATCTTGCAGTGGGAGGAATACAATAATAATGAATACAATTAAATAGCATAACTAATAATAATAATAATAATAATAATTAATTTTTATTAGTTATATTATTTAATTGTATTTATTATTATTATTATTATTATTATTATTATTATTATTATTATTATTATTTTTATTATTATTATTATTATTATTATTATTATTATTATTATTTGCAGGTGCATCTGATACATTTTTGATGGTGATGGTGCTTACCATCACCATGGATGGCATCTTGCAATGGAAGAAATACAATAATAATAAATACAATTAAATGATATAACTAATAATAATAATAATTATTATTATTATTATTTGCAGGTGCATCTGATATTTTTGTTGGTGATGGTGCTGCTGAAATTAAGAGGTGCCTTACCATCTATGGTGTCTTGCAATGGGAGGAATACAATAATAATATATACAATTAAATAATATAATAACTTTTATTATTATTATTATTATTATTATTATTATTATTATTATTTTTTTTTTTTTGCAGGTGCATCTGATGTATTTTTGCAGGTGATGGTGCTGCTGAAATTAAGATGTGCCTTACCATCAATGGCATCTTGCAATGGGAGGAATACAATAATAATAAATACAATTAAATAATATAATAATAATTATTATTATTATTATTATTACTATTATTATTATTTGCAGGTGATGGTGCTGCTGAAATTAAGATGCGCCTTACCATCAATGGCATCTTGCAATGGGAGGAATACAATAATAATAAATACAATTAAATAATATAACTAATAATAATAATAATAATAATAATAATAATAATTATTATTATTATTATTTGCAGGTGATGGTGCTGCTGAAATTAAGATGCGCCTTACCATGGATGGTGTCTTGCAATGGGAGCAATACGGCGGGCACCATGGAGCCACTGGGAAGAGCGCAAGCCGCGCATGAATGCAATCGCTGGCCGGCGGCTTCCGAACTGGGAGGCCCAATGGGCTGGAGAGGCTGCCCACCAGCTGCCCCGGTCAGTCCGTGTCAGCGGCGGCGGCGACATGTGACTGCTGCAAGCCATTCACGCTGCAGAGGAAGGAGGGAGGGCGGCAGGAAGCCAACCCCATTGATTTACATGGGGAAGGAAACCTCTCCGCAGCAGCAGCAGCAGCAAGCGATGTGGGTCAGGCCCAGCTTCCAGGGCAGAGGATGCTGGGAGACAGAAGAACCCCCCCCCCACTCCCCTCTTAGCTTTGTTTACACAACAACAACAACAACAACAACATATTATATTATATAAAAATATGATAGCATAATTATTGTTTATACAATAATAATAATAATAATAATAATAATAATAATAATAATAATAATAATCACAGATCCCTCCAAAGGCCATGCAGTCTGACCCCATTCTGCCAAGACACCATCCGATCCCTCCTGACAGAGGGCCATTCAAACATGGAGATTATTATCATATACCTCCAAAGGTCATGCAGTCTGACCCCGTTCTGCCAAGACACCATCCGATCCCTCCCGACAGAGGGCCATCCAAACATGATTAATAGATGCACTATATTCTATCTCTATCATAGGATCCTAGAGTGGGAAGAGATCCCTCCAAAGGCCACGCAGTCTGACCCCATTCTGCCAAGACACCATCCGATCCCTCCCGACAGAGGGTCATTCAAACATTTAGATGAATAGATGCACTATATTCTATCTCTATCATAGGATACTAGAGTGGGAAGAGATCCCTCCAAAGGCCACGCAGTCTGACCCCGTTCTGCCAAGACACAATCCAATCCCTCCCGAAAAAGGGTCATTCAAACATTTAGATGAATAGATGCACTATATTCTATCTCTATCATAGGATACTAGAGTGGGAAGAGATCCCTCCAAAAGTCACGCAGTCTGACCCTGTTCTGCCAAGACACCATCCGATCCCTCCCAACAGAGGGCCATCCAGCCATGGATATGAATAGATGCACTATATTCTATCACAGGATCCTAGAGTTGGAAGCGACCCACCAAGCCATGGATATGAGAGATGCACTATGTTCTATATATATATAATTCATCATAAGATCCTAGAGATGAAAGAGATCCCTCCAAGGGCTATGTAGCCCAAGCCCATTCTGCCAAGACACCATCTGATCCCTCCCGACAGATGGCCATCCACACATATAGATGATAGATGCACTATATTCTTGAATATATCTACCACAGGACTCTAGATTTGGGACCCATTCAAGGGCCATCCCACCCAAACCCCTTTCCGCCATAAGGAAAGGCACCATCCAATCCCTCCCGACAAAGGACCACCCAGCTTCTGCGTGAAATACTACTACTGCGAATAATAATATCCTAGGTTTGGAAGTGATCTCCACTGCCATCCAGCCCAACCCCACTCAGCCATAATGGAAGGCAACATCTGATCCCTCCTGACAGATGGTCATCCAGCCATAGTTAGATCTCCATAAGTATGATATATGATTGGGGGGGGGGGGATAGATAAAGGAAGACACCATATGCTCCCTCCCGACAGAGGGCCATCCAGTCTCTGCGTGAAATAATCCTAGTATAGGAAGGGACTCTAACGTACATCCAGTCCAACCCCATTCAGCCGATCCCTCCCAACAGATGGCCATCCAGCCAGTTAGATGTCCATAGGTATGATAGATGATTGGGAGAAAGAGAGAGAGAGGGAGAGAGTAGATAGATAGATAGATAGATAGATAGATAGATAGATAGATAGATAGATAGATAGAGGAAGGCACCATTCAATACCTCCCGACAGAGGGCCATCCAGCCTCTGCATTAAATACTACTAGTACTACTACTAATAATAATAACAGGGGTCCCCACTGTCATCCAGTCCAACCCCATTCAGCCATAAAGGAAGGCACCATCTGATCACTCCCGACAGATGGTCATCCAGCCATAGTTAGACATCCATAGGTATGATAATTGATTGAGAGAGAGATGATAAAGGAAGGCACCATCTGATCACTCCCAACAGATGGTCATCCAGCCATAGTTAGACGTCCATAGGTATGATAGATGATTGAGAGATGATAGATAAAGGAAGGCACCATCCGATCCCTCCCGACAGAGGGCCATCTAGCTTCTGCTTGAAATAATAATAATAATAATAATAATAATAATAATAATAATAATAATATTCTGGAGTAGGAAGGGACTCCCAAGGTCATCCAGCCCAACCCCATTCAGCCATAAAGGAAGGCACCATGTGATCATTCCCGAAAGATGGCCATCCAGCCATAGTTAGATGTCGATAGGTATGATGGATGATTGAGAGAGAGGAGGGGATGGTAGATAAAGGAAGGCACCATGTGATCCCTCCCGACAGATGGCCATTCATGAAATACTACTACTACTGTTACCACTAATAATAATAATAATAATATTCCAAATTTGGAAGTAGTCCCCACTGTCACCCAGTCCAACAACATTCAGCCATAAAGGAAGGCACCATCTGATCACTCCCAACAGAAGGCCATACAGCCATAGTTAGATGTCTATAGGTATGAGAAATGATAGATAAAGGACGGCACCATCTGCTCCCTCCCGACAGAGGGCCAGCCAGCCTCTGAGTGAAATCATCCTAGTGTAGGAAGGGACTCTAAAGGACATCCAGTCCAACCCCATTCAGCCATAAAGTAAAGTGCCATCCAATCCCTCCTGACAGAGGCTCTGCTTGAAATACTACCACTACTACTACTAATAATAATAACAATACTATCCTAGATTTGGAAGAGATCCTCACTGCCATCCAGTCTAAGGCAGCATCTGATCTCTCCCGACAGAGGGCCATCCAGCCTCTGCTTGAAATAATAATAATAGTAATAATAGCCAAGAGTAAGGACTCCAAAGGACATCCAGTCCAACCCCATTCAGCCACAAAGTAAAGTGCCATCCAATCCCTCCCGACAGAGGGCCATCCAGCCTCTGCTTGAAATAATAATAATAATAATAATAATAATAATAATAACAACAATAATATCCTAGATTTGGAAGGAATCCCCACTTCCATCCAGTCTAAGGCACCATCTGATCTCTCCCGACAGAGGGCCATCCAGACTCTGCTTGGAATAATAATAATAATAACAATAGCCTAGAGTAGGGACTCTAGAGTAGGGACATCCAGTCCAACCCCATTCAGCCACAAAGTAAAGTGCCATCCAATCCCTCCCGACAGAGGGCCATCCAGGCTCTGCTTGAAATACTACTACTACTAATCATAATAACAATAATATCCTAGATTTGGAAGGGATCTCTACTGCCATCCAGTCCAAGGCACCATCTGATCTCTCCCAACAGAGGGCCATTCAGACTCAGCTTGAAATAATAATAATAATAATAATAATAATAATAATAATAATAGCCTAGAGTAGGGACTCCAAAGGACATCCAGTCCAACCCCATTCAGCCACAAAGTAAAGTGCCATCCAAATCCCTCCCGACAGAGGGCCATCCAGCCTCTGCTTGAAATATTACTACTACTACTACTAATAATAATAATAATAATAACAACAACAATAATATCCTAGGTTTGGAAGGGATCCCCACTTCCATCCAGTCCAAGGCACCATCTCATCCCTCCCGACAGAGGACCATCCAGCCTCTGCTTGAAATAATAATAATAATAATAACAACAATAATAATAGGCTAGAGTAGGGACACCAAAGGACATCCAGTCCAACCCCTTTCCACCAATAAAGGAAGGCACCACCTGATCCCTCCCAACAGATGGCCACCCAGACTCTGTTTCTTAAACAATTACAACATCTAATAGGAATAGTAATAATAGTAACACTATCCCAAATGTGGGAGGGACCCTGGCTGCCACCCAGTGCAAGCCCATTGAGAGGTAGAGGAAGCACCACCTGATCCCTCCCAACAGATGGACATCCAGCCGTAGTTTTACGTCCATAGGTGTGAGAGATGATTGAGAGATAGACAGAGGAAGGCACCACCTGATCCCTCCCGGCAGAGGGCCACCCAGCCCTCAGATAGGAGAGGCCTTCCCCTCCCTGCCTCCCTCCATTGAGGAAAGAAGGCGGCGGTGGAGAAGCCATTGAGGAAAAGGCGCCATTGAGGCCTTTGGGCTTGCCATGCCCGCCATTCACAACCACAACAACCACAACAAGGAGAGCCACAACCCAAGCGCCATTCTGAGGGAGAGACTGAGGGAGGGAGGGAGGATTCCCATTCTGGCCGGAAGGAAGGCCACAAACACCCCCCCCCCACACACACACACACACACACACACACAGCAGGGAAGAAGGCGCCGCTTACCAGGCTTGCGGGGGGATTGGGTCCCAAGGAAGGAGGGAGGGAGGCCACGCCCACAGGGGAAGCCACGCCCACGGGGGGAGTCTGATAGGCAGGCAGGGAGGGAGGGCGTGTCCCTCACTCGCTCCGCCCATTGTGGGGCGTGGCCTAAGGGGTGGGTGGAGGAAGCAGGCTGGAAGGGAAAGAGAGAGAGAGAAGGGAAGGGAGGAAGGAAGGAAGGAAAGGAAAGAAAGAAGCCTGGAAGGAAAAACAGAGAAGAAGGAAAGGAAGGGAAGGAAGGAAGGAGGAGAGAGAAGGGAAGGGAGAAGAAAGGAAGGAAGGAAAGGATAGGAAAGGGAGGGAGGAAAAAGAGGGAAGGAAGGGAAGGCTGGAAGGAAAAAGAGAGGGAAGGAAGGAAGGGAAAGAAAGAAAGAAGGTTGGAAGGAAAAACAGAGGAAGGAAAGAGAAGGAAGAAAGAAAGAAAAGAGAGAGAAGGGAAGGGAGAGAAAAAAGGAAGGAGAAAGGGAAAGGGAAGAAGGAAGGAAAGAGGAAGAAAAGAAAAAAGAAAAGGAAAGAAAGAGGGCTGGAAGGAAAAACAGGAAGGAAAGAAAGGGAAGGAAGAAGGAAGAGAGAGAGATAAAAGGGAAGGGAGAAGAAAGGAAGGAAAGGATAGGAAAGGGAGGAAGAAAAGAGAGGGAAGGAAGGAAGGAGGAAGGAAAGAAGGCCGGAAAGAAAGAGAAGGAAGAAGGAAGGAAAAGAGAGAGAGAAAGGAAAGGAGAAAAAAAGGAAGAAAATGAAATGGAAGAAGGAAGGAAATGAGGAAGGAAGGAAAGGCTGGAAGGAAGAAGGAAGGGAAGGGAGAAGAAAGGAAGGAAGGAAAGGAAAAAAAGAAGGCTGGAAGGA